ATTGATTACCAACACAAATACATGTATTGTACACTGGCATGACGATGCGCGGGGCGAGGACCACCGCCCTTTAAAGTTACATTATTGTAAATACGTCTGTTTCGCATCATAAAGTAACACTTCCGTAGGTGTGTATAACTGTTACTTCTAACATGGCTATGCACCCTTCACCAATCAGATCGCCGGATTCACGATTTACATTTTCTGTATAAATTTAGAGAAGTTAGTTAGAACATGGCTTTGTCAGCTGATCTTGATTGACAGGAGATCGTCAAAAGAACACACATGATCTAATGCAACATTTTATTATTGGAGGGCACATATCCATGTTAGAAGCTCGTGACTTCAAAACCATGTATAAAGGGCGTGTCATTTTATAACCTATACATAAAATACGTTGGTTACCACAATGGTATCACGTACATTTGGTTCATACGACGTTGCAGTAATATATAGAATCAACAACCTGCATGCTTAAAGTAGGCATTATAAATACAGGAATTTTATAAATACATTGTTTATTGTTTACTTTACTTGTTTGTGCCCAATAGTGGAAATTTCCCAATGCTTTAACTTTTGAGACACATCCGCGGTAATCACGTGAAAATCATGCCACGCAGGCATTGAATGTTTACTCTGCCACGCCTTAGAGTTCTATTGAAAATGTTGTAAGAGAAGGGGACATCGAGGGTTACCGTGACCTCAGCTGACCTTTTGGATGAACAAAGCAGAACTAGCTGTAATGTGTATTTTTGGGGGGTCGAATCTGGTATCTCTACAGTTTAAGCGTCATCGGTATAGTGATTATAGCAAATTCTTTATATAAAACATACATATATGTTTCTTTTTATTTGACCAATACTTAAATCACTTTGAAGGTGGGGCGCTACCCAATATCAAAATAATGTCATTTCACATATTTGTGCATATATGATTTTTTTTGAACAAAAACAAATAAACATATAGAGTCACCCTACTCAGTAATTTTGTGTATATTATTGGAAAGTTTTTCCGTCTCAAAAATAGACTGACAGTAAACAAAAGCAATCCATACACTGTTGATTAATACCGTTTTCAGTTTTATTTACAGATTTTGATACAAATTGTCTCTGCTACATGTTTATTAAAAAAATGGAGAATTGTGGAAAGCATATTCAATGCATTCTCAATTTTATTTACATGATATGTTTATCTACACACGATGGCATTATTACAAACACAGTGCCACAGTGTGATCCGTACACTCGCACTGACCTTTGTGCCATAGTCTCGGTATTCATGGATACATAACATTCGTTGCAATACGTCAATTGTTTTGTTTTTGTCAACTTGATAACGGCTTAAATCGAATATCATTTATACTACTGGATGAATATCCACCAAATAAAAA